GGGAAGGAGGGGGCGGCGAGCCGGGGCTCCCGGGGGAGCCGCAGTGCCCCAGCCGGGACCGCCTCTTGCCTCCGCCCGCTTGTCCTCGGGCGCTGGCTTCCTGGGTTGGAGACGAGACCCTCCCCAGCGAACAGCAGCGACTTAGTGTGAACAAATTGCTTTGTGGTGGCGCGTCGAGGGCTCCAGGGAGGGGTGTGTGTGTGTGTGTTCGTGTGTGTTCGCGCTCCTGACTAATCAATGCGCTGGTTCACCTGAAAAGAAAATCAGTCCTGAGGTGAAACCGCAGGTGGCCCCTTGGGCCCTCTGGTCTTTCGGCTTGTGTCCCAGGGACTCGTACACGCGCTGCTATCAAGGGGTAGGGGTGCGCGAAGGGGTGACGGAGGGATTTGTGAATGGTGCTTCTCTGCGCCTGGAGGCTGAGCCTTGCTGATGTAAAGGAGGAGGCATCCAGAGTGAGAAGAAAGGCTATTTATGGCAAAGAGTTGTGAAATTTCTCGGGGTTTCCTTCAGTGTATCCTGAACTGCTCTCTGTCTCCCTCCTTCTTTCTCTCTCCATTCTCTCCTCTCTTTTCTCAGAATTCGAAGCAATTCTGCTTCCCCCTCCACACCTCGTGGGACCTGGAATATGAAATGAGGGAAGTCAGAAAATCACTTGTCTTTTTAAGGCAGTAAAAACGTGCTTCTCAGAAGTCACTGATCTCTTGCCCTTTAATGTTTTTATGTACTTATTCTCCACTCCTTTTAACCTTTTCAGGCCCTCGATAGGACCCACAGGACAGAAGGTACCTACTTGGTTTCAACAGCTTTCATTTCTAGTATCTTTACAGTTGAATACCTTCCCACTGAAATGTAATATATCCTCCATCCGTATCCCTAAGAAAGGCTATTAAAAATAATGTACACATTTTACTGTAAAGCTGGTTTTATTAAAAGCCTTGGGGAGGAGAGAGAAGCAGACGTCTAGGTGAGTTTATATCGATTACTACTGGTTAAAAACTAGCTATTAAGAAAAGACCTGAAATATTATTAACCTAGGCTGCAACACAATTTGTTTTGGTTTCTCTATTTGCTTTGTAACAGGTACACATTCCAGACATAACTTGAAGCTTCGAGGAGACTTGGGACAGAGTCCACCAGCTATGCTTTAGCAAGTTTGTTCTTAAAAGCAGCAACCTGTGCTTTTATAGAACCAATGACTGGGTTGTGACTGAGGTACTAGGACAGTGTTCTTATTATTTTAAATTGGGATGTCTCTAAGCGCCTGCCAAGCACAATGTTTTCAAAACATTGACATTCCGTGTTGCTACCACCCCTTCAATAATTTCATGGGGAAGAAAGAGAAGTAAACTGGTCAACCTATTGTCAGAGTGATTTGTCTTCATTTGATATTAATTAAGGAGCTCCTTATTTTGATCAAAACATGCCAACTGTCGGTGTTTTTCCAGTGTGAAAGTAGCTTTTCTTAACAGTCCTGTTGATTTTGAAGACAAAGCAGAGTTAAGGATTTGTTATTTTGATTCAGTTAGATTCATATTGGTTTAAAATACATTTTCAACATTGAAGCATGTGCCGTTTTATATATTACATTAGAACTTAGATTGAGAGCACCACTCTCAGGGTTAACTTTCCTGAGTCATTGGAATGTAGAAATAATGGGGAGGTTTAAAATGTGCTTGATGAAATGTATTATTGCAATCATTAAAAAGTCATTTATGAATATTTTATTCTTTGACACTGTCAAAGAATCAGCAACTGTTTATTTTAATGATTATTTATACTATAGAATGTTAATTTATATCAAACTCATGTAGAAAATGAAAAATTCATTATATTTTATCATTATTCAACTCTTTATTGCCTTTTATTACTCAACATAGTACTCAAAGAGCCTGTCATGTGCAAGGTGCTATCTAGGTATTGTGGAGGAACATATAACTCCCTTGCTCCCTGCCCTTGAGGAGCTTACTCTCCAGTTGGGAAGAATCTGATGCTCATGCTTCAACAGAGTTAACAACCCGTGGCAATAAGAGATTGCATGTCTAAAGAGGACTGCAGGAGTTCAGAGCATGATAACAGTTCGTGCTGGGTTTTGTCTGAAAAGGCTTCAGGTGTAGGTAAGACTTGCTTGGTCTTGATCTTAAAGGATAAATGGGATTAGTGGCTTGTTGATGAGAATATAAGGTATAATAAGATGCAAGTCTCCTGGAGTTATAGAAATGATCAAAAGATATAAGGGAAGATAAGTTTGTTTTGAAATAGATTTAGATATTGCTAAGTGGTTGAATTTGTTGTGCAAAGTTCAGAGTGAGTCTGTTTTAGATGTGCAACATTCTGTACACTCTATTCTTGGAATGAATTGTCAATATTTCTGTACCTAAGAAGACAGTCTTTGACTTTATATTGTCTTTTAGTGAACGAAATGCTTGACATATATTTGTAGAGAATACGTACTCTAAATCTCTAAATATACCACATCACCCTAACGTGTTGAATATGGTGTTAATAACAACGTGGCACATACAACCTCTTTATAGCAAGGTGTTTGAGGTACCTCCTTAACCAACCTTCCTTAGATTTGCTCTAAAGGAAAAAATATAAGGTATGTAAAAGAACACCTGTATTACTAGTGATCAGTCATTGAATGCTTATTTTATTCTTCATATAAAATGTATAACCCATAAAATAACATTTTTTCTATAATATTTTTATATTAAAATTATTAGAATGCATACACATAATAGTTAATCTGTCCTTAAGTTATTTTCCATGAATATAGAGCTGTGATGCAGGGCTTGTGGGGAATAATTTTAGAAATGTAGCAACAATTTCAAAGATATTTTAACTATTTTCTGGTAAATAGATTATGTTACTAATAGGAGCAGTCCTTTTTCTAAGCATTCTAAACTTAATCGTTTTTTCTTTTTGTGTATATATATATATGTTTGTGTGTGTGTGTGTGAGAGGAAGATCAGCCCTGAGCTAACATCCGATGCCAGTCCTACTGTTTTTGCCGAGGAACATTGGCCCTGGGCTAGCATTCGTGCCCATCTTCCTCTACATTATAAGGGATGCCACCACAGCATGGCTTGACAAGCAGTGCGTCGGTGCATGCCTGGGATCCAAACCTGTGAATCCCGGGCCGCCGAAGCAGAGCGCGTACAATTAGCTGCTGTGCCACCGGGCCGGCCCCTATATATTTGTTTTTTATACAAACACAGAACTGTTTAAAATGCATTTCTCCATTTTAAGAATACAAGGGGAAATATTTGATTGACTTTGAGCCTGTCTATGCAATATGATACCCCAGAAGTATATAGTGGCGACAGTAAAGAAATAGTACAAATATTAGATATGACTTTCAATAAATAACAGAATAGTATTACTTTCAGATTAGTTGAATTAAAAGATTTTCATATTTATATTTTGTTGACAATGCATAGATAAGTTTTTATAAAAGTAAAAAGCCTATTAAATCATCAATTTCATATTCATGCAAGAATGGGATGATTTCCAATGTAGTCAGAGTATAAACCAGCCTATCTGTTAATTGGTCTCTTTTGTGTTTGGTTTTGGACTATCTGTCACAGGTGTATCACTTTGATAATGTAATCTCTTCTACTGTATGACTGACAGCTTCTGCATGATTTCCCTATTGGATAATGACAAAATCTGCTTTATTTTGAGGATGCACGCTTCTATCAGCAATATTATCTTCGCTATGCAAGAGTGTCAGTTAACAATAAAACATGAAATCTGGGGTGGGAGAAGCAGTTAGAAAAGATGAGGAGATTGACGAAGAACACTATAATAAAAGAAACATACTTCAATATTTAGCTTAAACTAAATATAATATAAAAATGTAAAGCTGAGCAGTCTAAACTGCAGTTAATACAGAACCAAGATATTGTTATCAATTCTTATTTTAAACTGAGCGTATTACATTTTAAGCTGTTTTCATGTGAGTTAAATAAAATGACAAAAAACAAAAAAAGTGGTGATTGAAAATGTTTACTGGGGTCTGTGGTATGATATTATAATTTTTTTTTAAGATTTCTGCTTAGATCATTGACAGATGAAGTTAGTTGTTTGGCCAAATTCCTGGCCCTGTATCTAGATTAACTTAAAATATAGCTTTTAATTTTGCATTATTTACACTGCATTAATAATTTTAAAATTTTAATTAAAGTTATCAAAATTTTTGAATACTGTAACTATATTCTGATACTGATAAAATCTAGAGGTCATTTATGAGAAAGCATCTTACTATCTAATGGCAAATTCTTAACCTAGAGCAGTAGTTCTCAAAATGTGATTCCCTGAGCAGCAGCCCCAGTGAACGTGTTAAAATGCCAGTCCCACCACAGACTGACTGAATCAGAAGCCCTGGGCTGGGGTCCTCTGTGTGATTCTTGTGCACTCTAAAGTTTGTGACCTAGAGT